ACCAATCTATGTCGATACCGGTGTGCAACCGTCGCCTCCGCCATCACCTGCCAAGTTGGTCATGGTGGAAGCGACGTCGCAAACTATTGAGCCATCGGTCCAGACAAAGTCGAACGATTTCCCATCTACTGCTGCTGAGGTTGAGGCCAACCAAAGTCGGAAGCGTGTTTCAGTACCCTTGACTTCCAGCCCGCCGGTCCAAGCCAGCCCTGAAATTTGCACAACGACCTCAAGCTCGGTACAGACAATCGAACAGCCTCTCAGTCCGCCACCTACGCCTAGGATTCCTCAGCCATCAGACAAAGCACCCTTGTCACCAGTTTACCAAACTGAGCTCGTGTCTACGGCAACGCAGACAGACTCGCCGATCGAGCCTGAAGTAAAACCAGAAAAGCCTACCAGAGCGCCACCGCCAGCGCCGATAACAATCCCTTCCATTGCTATCCATGCTCCTACATCTGCTCCTTCGTCGCCCAAGGCCCCTATCCTTCCTCCAGGTACCAAGACTGTCTCGACTCAAACAACTGGCGACCTGGTAGCTCCAATGACTTCCACCGCCATGCAGACTGAGCCAATTAGGATTGACCAAAGAGCTGTGAAGCTTCCTGCGCATCTCCTTCCTTCTGCTATAACCTCCAAGCCTGGAACGCCTGAGGCAGATCACGTCAAGACAATCAAAAAGGACTCTAGTGACGCCGAGAACTCGACTCTCAAGACAACTTCTCGTCAAGACTTCATTACTCGTCTTGAGAAGGCTGCTGAGAAGAAGATCGAGAACCGTTACCCAGGGAACAACGACAATGGACCTTTGTCGCGCCAGCTTCATGCGGACGTACTCAACCGACCCTTCCGGACAAGCAGCCTCTTCGCAGGTTTTGATGGCCCCTCATCTGATGAAGAGGATGACGATGCGGAGCTGAGCGACGACGACTACAGGAGCCACCAGTTCTCCACTCCAATGCTTTCATCGCGCAATGCAAAGAGCGGACGGCCAGTAAACCCACCTACCCCGGTTCCTGAAGACAAGGAATCCACGCCGATGCCTAGGCCATCCGAGGATTCCGTCAACAGTGTTTCTATAGCGTCTAAGCGAAGCTCAATGGAGAAGCCCTCTAGAGTTGGCAAGACACAGCGTAACTCTATCGGCCGCCAGCCCAGTATCCGACGATCTGCTATGATCCACAGCGGAACCGCAGCGCACAACATACCGAAGCCACCCTTCCCGGTTCCCACTCGATCCAGCTCTCGCAACAAGCCAGTGAGCAAGAGCGAAGGTTCGCAAAGCCCAACACCTCGCAACAGTGGATCGTATGCTGGTCGCCGTCCATATGGCGTAAAGCATCAGCGGAAAGACAGCCTACGCAAGGTGCGATCTGCTGCTCCTGTCTCCAAGGGTGCACGCTCTCGTAGCAGATCACCCACACTGCCTGCGACTCCTAGCATTGCAGACACATCTTCCATTCCTCCACTACCGAGCGACATTGCTAGCGCAAGTGGCTTCCGCCACCGACACCAACTATCAAATGCAACCGCAGCGACAAGCTACACAGCCAACGGATCTACCAACACTTCTGTCTCGCACACTAGTGTCGTCGATGCGATCGCTGCAGCCATGATTGGAGAGTTCATGTGGAAGTACGTGCGCAAGAGAAAGACCTTTGGTGGCCCTGACACGCCGGTGGATGTCAGTCGAGCAGCAGAGGAGGCTTCTTTGGCTAGCCATGGTGTGAGACACAAGCGTTGGGTCTGGATCTCTCCATATGAAAGAGCCATCTTGTGGAGTAGCAAACAGCCAACGACTGGTTCCGCGTTGATGGGTAAGAGTGGTCGCAAGCGTAAGTCTCTCGAGTTCATGTCATTTTCTATCTACTAACATACCACTAGTCGTCATCCAGTCTGTTCTCGATGTCGCCGACACCTGTCCTGCCCCGAAGAACGAGACACTCTTCAACCGCTCTATCCTCATCCTTACTCCTGCTCGCGCACTCAAATTCACCACATCGTCCCGCGAAAGGCATTACCTCTGGCTGACGGCCCTTTCTTTCCTCGCCCATTCGAGCGCACCCATGCCAGATCTGACTTCTTTGCCACCGGTACCTCCGCCGGTCGACGAAACACTCCAACGTCAACAAGGTGCGACACTCCGCCGTAGTCGTGTCCAGGACTCTGTGCGTCTCGCCAAGGGAAGGACCAACCCAGTCATGGCTCGTTACGCAGCTCAAGATGAGCCAATGCCTAGTTTGCCATCTCTCGCTGGATTCGAAACGGCTATGCCAGACTCTGCCAGTCCTCCCACTATTCCTCGTGGGCCACAACACGGCAGGAAGAGGAGTTCTACAGGACCAAGCGCACCTCCTCCAACTGTTCCCTTCCGTAGTTTCTCGCACCAGCATGTACCATCGGTCTACTCCAACGTATCATCTGATATGTACAGTGCCGGCGTACCGCCATCAGTACCTTCGTCAGTCTACAACCCCAACAGCGGCGCCATGAGTTCGCGAACCTCAGAAGCCAGCACATCGACTCGTCAACACTTCTTCGACACCATGGGCACAGTCCGCATGGAAGCCTTCATCGACAACGCTCTCGGCGACCCAAAGCAGCTGAGCAGCTACGGCGGACGAGCACCGCACATGCAACACCGTCGCCGACGTGGTAGCAGCCAGTGGAGCGCGAGCACGCGCGACCAGTCGAACCGAGGCGGTGGTCTCTTCGACTTCGACGCTAACGATCCTTTCCGTGGTTTCTAAACAACGCACTGCACTTACGACTCGCTCACGTGTGACGGGCATGCTTTACGGTCGCTCGGATGTCTTCCACAGCCTGTCGCCCATTTGTCTTTCGAACGTCTTCCATCTTTCGCTTGTACCGTCTTATTCTCTCACTGCTAGGGCAACGACCCATACGACTCAACGTCATTGTGCGGAGGTCCCATGTACCTCGTCTGCATCTTTCCTACCGTCACTCTACTTCGACTCACCTTTTTGTATTCTCCCACTCGCTCAACAAACCCTAGGGGCCTGACTGCAAGGCTAGAAAGCGGTTGTGCTCGCGCGCATCTTATCACTCGTACCGCCTATTGTAATGTTTTCTTCTCTCGGCCGGCTTTCGCTGCTGCGCACCATTGATACCCCTCTCGCTACCTTTACCTCGTGGTCTTTGAGCGACCTTTATTCCCTTGCTTTGTTTTTTCCTTTGCACGAGCGTTCTATATCCACTTTGTCTTGGTTGGAGGTGTAGCCTGGGCGATGTTCACTCGCTACTTGGTGGGGGATGGGCAAGGGTCAGCCTCAGGGGCAATGATCCAAGTTGGTAGTTTGTGAAGAATCCTACAATCATTACCGCTATCTATGATACTCGATCAGTCTGCATGTGATGTTGTATTGCGAGCAAAGCTGTCCCCCCCGATCCCGGCATACTTCGGCGTCCTCGCACCACTTTCCAGCAAATTCTCACCGCAGCCCCACCACGGCCCAACTATGCAAGCCACCAAGTTCGTCTCGCACTGTCTTGACCATCGATATAAACCGTATTATTTTCCATCGCACCATCAATCAGTCAAGCAACTCGCTTACAATCGGTTTTGTAGTGTGCGTAGATCCTCTTCCTCACTTACCAACTTGCCCCCGCTAATAACCATCCAGGTAGCGGTTATCACTCCGGATTCTGATCTCAAAATCAGTATCTTCCGGCAACCCCGGTTCGATTCCGGGCAAGACCTCTCTTTTTGGATCCGTAGAGGCCCTGGGTAGTGTAGGGAGACGTGGTGGGGTGTTGGCGGAGAATGAAGCTTTTTTGGTTTCGGCTATGTTAGACACACCCACCTTTTTTTGAACATAGGAATTGGATTACAATGCAAATTTAACAATGGCTACGTATCAATACGTGCCTTCACCTTACCCAAAGAGATACCCGACCATTATGAAGCCTACATCATGATAAAAACGTGCAAAGTAGGTGGCCTGAAGTCAATGTAGGCTCCAGACCTGTTCAGCTTTCCCCTTTGCGTAAGGTGTCTCTAACTGTCTAATACACGTTGTATATTAATGGGAAATTTGCATATTGAACAGACGTGAACCGGGTTACGTCCCTATCACAAAAGATAGTATTGCTCACTATATGCATATAATAGATTTCGTGAATTCCGTTCAATGTATTTCTTAGGCTGCTATGACTATCTCTGGCTTTCGGAACAGCACAAGTTGCTGTGTTGCGTAAGGCTTGCTGCACCGAACTCTCGAAGTTCGTGTGCCGAAGTTTCGCCTTTTTGTCCCCACCCCTGCCAACGAACACTTCCTTCAAAAATGAATGAATAGATTTCGAAAACTACGTGAAGTGTCCCTCTTGAGCATCACTGTTGGCTTTTTGGAGTGAAATGTGTGTCTTCATTCGCCAACTCGAAATCTACCAAAAAAAAGTTCAGATCCGCCCACGCCTATTCACTATCCTCCCCCGCAACAAAAAACGAATGCACTACAGTAACTGTAGCTCCTCTTGACTCATCGGAGGCTTGAACTCCGGACCTTCAGTGTCCTAACGGGTGGCTTTTGAAGACCCCTTGTTAGACTGACGTGATAACCAACTACACCAACGAGCCCTGTTTTATAGCAAGAGGTAAAACGGTAAGATTTATGTAGTTGTTCCGGAAGCGCTGGTAGCAAAACTGAGGGACTTGTTGGACGTGAAATTGTGCATTCGCTAGGGCAAAAAGGGGGGGTTGCATGTGGGCAGCTCGCTGGAGCTATACCCACTTGGCCGAGTGGGGAGCTATCAGCTTACTACAGAAGCACCCTGGTACGGGGGGCAACGGGTCTTCATTGGAGCTTACACTAGTATACATCCTCACTGCATCAGGTTATATTGACAGGATATAGAACAGGTGGTTGTGGTTACTCGAATATATTGACATATAACGGTATCTGATATCGCGAACAGGGACGCGGAAACAACTCACAACAGGCATCGCAAGAACAACAACAGCCCCTCACTAGTAAAGGTGTCTAGAGCTTGCTTCCTGCTAACCTCCTCTTCTCCTTCTCCTTGTCCCTCAACAACCGTCGCAGAATCTTTCCAGACGGTGACTTCGGAATCTCATCGATGAACTCAATACCACCGCTGATCCACTTGTATCGCGCCTTGTGTTCTTCGACGTGCTTTTGAATCTCGCGAGCGAGGACGCGGTCGTTCTCTTCTAGGCCGACTGACGGTGATTTGACGACGAAAGCTTTCGGTACCTCTCCGGTCTTCTCGTTGGGGATTTGGATGACGGCGCAGTCGTTTACGGCAGGATGCGTCAGGAGGTGTGCTTCGAGTTCTGCAGGCGCGACTTGGTGGCCCTAGGATGTTGTTAGTTTAGAACATCTTTCACAGGGAGTAGAGACCGTACCTGAACCTTGATGAGTTCCTTGATACGATCAACGATGAAGACGTGTTCGTGACCATTCGCCCCCTTCTTGAATACAGCCTCATCTCCGGTGCGCATGTATCCATCTTGGAACGTTTCCTTGTTGGCCTTGTCGTTGTTCAAATAGCCCAACACGACTGAAGGAGACTTGACTAGCAACTCGCCAGGCTGGTCGTAGCCAGTGATCTCGGTGCCCTCAATAGTAACGATCTTGCACTCGATGCTAGGCAGCAGGGAACCGGAGGAACCGAACCAGATGTCATCGGGAGAAGACGAGGAAACGACAGTGCATGTCTCCGTGAGACCATATCCTTGTCGGATCTTCCATGAAGGGAAGATCTTGGATAGGTCTTCTGCTGTCTCTTGTCCTAATGGTGCAGCTCCGGTGAAGATGGACCAGACGGAGCTGAGGTCGTACTTGTCGAGCAAGGGCTTGTTCTTGGTCATGAGGATAATGATCGGTGGAACCAAGAACAACGAGTTGATCTTGTAGTCTTGGATGGCCTGCAGAGTTGACGCAAACTCAAACTTAGGGAGGACTACGACACCATCTCCACGGTAGACGTTCGCATGGCAGATGACAACCAGGCCATAGATATGCGACATGGGCAAGAGGCCCAGGGCGATCTCGGTGTAGTCGGATTGGTTTCGTACGTCGTTGATGATCGTGTCTCTGTACGGCTTCTCGTAGGTAGTGATTTGCACTGCTTGTGGTCAGCTAGTGTTTGATGCGATATAAGGACAAACTTACTTGTGTTGGCGATGACGTTCCTGTGCGATATCATGACACCTTTCTGTATAATACGTTAGCATATACTTGCGCATACGCACAATACATCGACGACTTACCGGTAGTCCTGAAGTACCGCTAGAGTAGCAAAGGAACGCGGTCCGCAGAGCTCCGTCGCCTTTCTCCCAGTCCAATTTCGGCAGACGGTCAAGCTTCTCGCCCTCACGGATGAGATCGTCGACCGTCTTGAGCCCCTTTGGTGTTTTCTTGCCAGCAAACGATTCGGGCACCTCCAGTATGTATATGCGATTCTCGGGGATGTCGCAGTTCTTCGCCGCCTGTCGCGCAGTGTCTAGGAGGGGGACGCAAGTGAAGAGGGCTTTCGCGCCGGAGTTCTTCAATTGGTATTCGAGTTCAGCGGTACTGTACGCAGCATTGGCGGGCGATTGGATACCACCCAGACGATGCGTAGCCCATGCGAGTGGAAGCGTGTCAATCTAGCCGACGTCAGTATCCTCGTAAATCTATCAGCCTGGAGATGCTTACCGTGTTGACGGAGAAGACGGCAATGACCTTGTCCCATTCAGTCGCTTCGTTGGGTTTGAAGCCAAGCTCCTTTGATAAGCCTCGGGCGAGAGCCTCGACGCGGTCTCGCATATCCAAACACGAGTATGTCTTCCCGGTCAACCCGCAGGTGAAGGGGTCGTTCGAGTAGCCGAGCGGGTGACGGCCATAGTGCTCATCGAGCATAAAGTCGCAGATGGGAATCGAGTCTGGCGGGTCGAAGGGGAGCTGCGGCACCCATGACGGAGGATTGAAAGGCATGTTGAGCGATATCTATGCGTACGTCAGTTGTGCGCGAAGGCTTGGGACGGATGCAGGAACTCACCTATAGTAAGCCTCAATTGGCGATGCAGGGAGAAGGCAAAGAAGGAATCAGAACTGCAGCTTTAACGCATGCGCCCATCTTCCTGAATGACGTTAGCATCATCGGATGCCGTGTCTGGTCGGAGCCGACAGCTACTGCCAGCCCCCAACTGTGGGGAAAGCTGGGGTACCGAGGTCACGCCTCGAAGCGGCCAAACCTCTCCTTAACGCCGGCCTTAGCTCGGAGCCACCAAAACGCGACTCACCTCTACCCAGACACCGAGAGGAAATTTGTTGCAATTCGGGACCGAGTATAATCAGGAGTCGCAAGCATGATGAACCTCTCCAGGTTTGTCTGCTATCGTGGAAGTCGCTCTTATCGCGACATAGTACAGCAAGAGCCACCCTCGACCCTGCCTCCGCGCTGGCAGCCGCCTTCACTGTCACCATCTCCGACGTTTGCCCACTCTCACTGCGCCGCCCAAGTGAGAGCGTCTCAGCAGACAGCAGAGTTTTCCGTGACTCTAAGTATAGCTGTCTTCCTATTGTCGCACGAACCTGAATTGAATTTCTATTGTCCGCATGACGCGATCCCACCACCTGCCACTCCTGACCTCACTCTGTTGTTTTTAGACTTCAATTGTCTTTCTTGTCGCTTCAGCTATCGTTACTGAATATCCAACACGCATCTAACAGCAAATCACTACTCGAATCACTCATGGCATCCTCAAAGCGCAAGTCTGACGACAGCGATTCCGACTGGGAAGGTGCACCCGGAGCGAAGCAACCCAGACCCACGCCCGAATCAGGGACTGCTGAACTCCATAAGGATCTCGGTAACTATGGCAGCGCATCTTCCCAACGCCCGGCACGAGTAAGGAAACCTCCGGAAAGATACATCAACGCACCGCCTCAGCCGCCTGTCTCTAAGAGAAGGAAAGCGACCTTGACCAAGGCCAAATCATCCGCCCAGAGAGCTCCAACTACAACAAGAGGTGCTTCTCATCAGATTCAGACCGAAGCTCCGGTATATTTGGAGACAAGTGTCAATGGCAGCGACACCTCGTCGCAACCACCGGAGAAAGAGTCCAAGATGGTGCGTCTCAAAGTCCCAGTCACCACGTCCACACGCCAGCCAAGCCAACACCACGAAGAGGAGAGCTCCGGTAGTGAGCTATCGTCCCCGCCAGAATCTTTGCCATCAACTCCTGTTTGTAAAACCCTTGAACTTTTCGGTCCTCAGGCTAATTAGCAAGCAGATCTCTGCCCACAAGAACACACAGAGCTCTTCTCCGCTGGACGGACAAGGTCAATGTGCACAGCGTGTATTGGAGCCCGTACCGGCATCGAGCCAAGATTTTGCAACTCCATCTGCCTCGCAGGAAACCCTCCCAAGCCAGACCCCCATAACGCAGTCATGGGAACCATATACGCCGGAGGACAGTATGCGCAACGTCCCAGACTTCGCCAATCACGCGCAAACACCACCGTCAATGCTTTTGAAGGAGGCCGACAGTCGCTTCGCATACCTTACGCCCGAATCAGGTATCCACTATGATCCGAGTCTCGTACATGACAAGTCGAGCGTTGATCTTGGGAACGGCCAGGTGCCTGAACAAGACTCATATCTAGCCCAGCCCATACTGTCTTTGGGCTTGACCTGCGGAAGGTGTGGCGCAGCTGGGCACGAAGAGCATGACTGTTCCGTGGCTCCTTCTATCCCCGACAATCGAGATCGCAGCGGGCAGGTCGAGGCTTGGCTTCGAGCTGGCGGTCCCGCCGACCAGACAAAGCCGCCCTGTGCTGACCATGTCGCGCCGGTACCCAGTCTGTATGCAGAATCAGAAGCAACAACGGATTGCGATGAATTCGTGGGCTCTCCCGTCGGCGAACGATTCGACCTACCCGACAACAAACACCTCTATAATATTACCGAGAGACTCATTGCCCAGCAGAACAGAGGCTCGAACAAGCCAGAACCGCACGGACAACCAGAAGTTTGGGCCGATGGACGGCAAGAGATCTGCGAGACGCTACATTACTATCGCGCATACCAAAGCGCCTGCTACTCAACTGGCGGTTTTGCGAGGGGCTTCATGTTTGACAAGGTTGCGCATGCTCGCGACTATATGGATACTAATGTCGTCATCTCACGTGCAGGCGGTGGTCTCGCGAAGGACATTGACTCTGGTGAGATGAAGTCAAAGAAGGACCAATCTGAAGACTCAGCTGCGTTAGGCTTGAGGAATTGCATGCTTCATTCCAACCCAGTCGTCATCATTACCGGAGTCGACAACCCCAACATTCCGTCAAAGCCACCGCATCAGTACTGTGTCCTGGATCACTTCAAGCCCACCCATATTTGGGCCGAGAAGAGTGGTAACAGCAAGATTGTGCGATACCGCTTTGAGAAGCTGAACACCAAGAAAGAGTCCTGGTGGAAGGAGAAGGATTCTCAGGAAGTTGTAGAGCTTGGCTCGCTGCCACCTCCAGTTGAGAAGATATGCGGAAGCTGCAACGTGAAGTCTCAACAGATATACCTGAACGGGTGGATGTGTCTACAACCGACTTGCGCCGCCTTTTGGAAGATTCTCATACCAACGCCAGGACCTGGAACGAGCATGTCAGCGCAAGAGCCAAAAGAAGCCTCTTTGGTATACGACCCACGCTTTCTCAAGCAGAAGACTCCTTGGCACAATGACGACCATGATTACCCTCTGGTCTCTAACGCTGCCGAACTTTCAGGACACTCTATTCCCGGCGAAAATACGTCCGTCGCATTCTGGTCTGGTATTGTTTGCCCTGGTTGCGGACGCTGCACATCCCGTCTGAACTGGACAAATTGGGAGTGTTCCAATGTAGCATGCCAGTACATGAGAACGCCTCCGCACACGCTCATCCCCGCGCTATCGCTTCACGACCCATTATGGCCAGTCACTAGCAGCTACACGCTGTCTAGGGATACAATGACACCTCTTTTAGGATTGAAGGTATCATTTGAACATGGATATCGTATCAATCGCTATGAGATACCCGGAGTCAATGGCTTCATCACACACATGATCGCCAACAAGACGGTGCTTGAGGAAGAAGGTGGACCAGATGCCATGTTTGAAGAGCTCCAACAGACGGACATTGGACTGCAGCGACGCTCCATGCCGAACGGTCAGCTCAAAGGACCGAACTACTGCCGCCATTTCGCAGTCAACTATGGCATGCCATACAAGTTCATCGCAGCGACAGCATCTCGCTCCTTTGATGGAGCTGCTCGTCCGATAACCAGCACCCGTAGTCGCCTGAACTGGGCGGCCAAGTTGCTATTGACGCAAGAGACTGGGAAGAGTATGGAAGAAATCAATCAAGTATGGCAAGAGAAGGAGTTCAACGAAATTCTAGCACTGGGATACTTCGAAGAACAAAAGATCAACTACCATGATGACGGCGAATTCGGCCTCGGCCCAACTATCGCAACGTTGAGTTTGGGTGCACCTGGCACTATGCGGATCCGCATGAAAGCCCGTCACTACCACGGCGTATCTTCTGTCGCTGGTCTTTACGACGACGCTGCCCCAATCCCCGGATGCGAACATTACGAAGCTCGTCTCGCACTTCAACCTGCTCTCGACGCGCTCAAGACATCCGACTCTAAAGCGTACAACGCTAGGAGGAAACAAATTCCCAAGCAGTTGAAGCTCAACAACCGAGGCAATGCGAGGGATGCGCTGACGATGCAGCTTGGGCACGGCGATATTGTTATCATGCACGGCGCCGATGTACAGAAGTATTATGAACACGCTGTTGAGCACTCGGGTAAGCTGCGGTTTGCGCTTACTTGTCGGTACATCGACCCAACATCGCTGAAAGCTGAGGATCAGCCTCAGTATGAAGTTGGACCGGATGAGGAGCGGTATGATGGATCGGGACTGATTTGAGTTATCTGGAACGATCGAGAAGGAAGACGGAGACTTTGGGTTATATACGGATTTCAACGACGCCAACCTTAGATAGCATGTTTGACTTGTGGTCACATCTGGCGGATACCATGTTATCTTACGAAGGCGAACATGTCTTGCATCTCTATATACAATTCACAACGGGTATTTAACTTTTACTTCTTATGCACATGGCCTCATGATTCTTTTGAACTTACATGTCCTGCTTCCACTCCTTGTTGAACGCCCGTCCAATAACCATTCGCCTCACCTCGCTCGTACCAGCGCCAATCTCGTACAACTTTGCATCCCTGAGTATCCGTCCTACAGGGACTTCGTTCATGTATCCCATGCCGCCCATCAACTGCACGGCATCAGCTGCGACCTCGCTCGCCCTCTCTGCCGCATACAGAATCGCTCCTGCACAGTCCTGTGTCTTGATATCGGGACTAGCATGCGACTCATCCACAGCGCGGGCAACACTGTATGTGAACGCCTGACTAGCACGATATTTCGTGTACATATCCGCCAGCTTCCCCTGCACAAGCTGATTGTGCGCGATCGGCGTACCGAACTGCTTCCGCTGGTGTGTATAAGGAAGGACGTTATCAAGCGACGCCTGCATGAGACCCAGCGGCCCTGCCGACAGGACCAGGCGCTCGAGATCCAGGCCCTCCATCAAGACGCGGACGCCGCGGTTGATCTCTCCCAGAACGTTTTCCTTAGGGACAAAGACGTTTTCGAAGACGAGTTCGCCGGTGTTGGAGCCGCGCATACCCAGCTTGTCTAGTTTGTTGGCGACGCTGAAGCCGGGGGTGGAGGTCTCGAGGATGAAGGCTGTGATGCCCTTGGAGGCGGCGTTGGGTTCGGTTTTGGCGTAGACGACTATTACGTGTGCGTCTGGGCCCTGTGAAGATGGTGTTAGCATATCTTTCCCCTAACAGCCATACATGACGAGGGAACGTACGTTTGTAATCCACATCTTCGTGCCGTTAAGCAAATACCCACCATCCACCTCCTTCGCCG